TTTTGATTTTTTTTTATATTTTTTTATGGGGTTTATATGCGCCCCAACCCGGGGGGGGGGGACTCAGGGCGGCTTACAAGTACGAATAAAATAAAATAAAAATAAAAATAATCATTTTTGTTGCTCTTCTCTGCACTCGTTTTAGAATCTCAATGTCTTTTTTATATTGTAGTGACCAAAACTGGATATAATACTTCTAATGTGTTCTTACCTAGGCATTATAAATTGATACTAACACTTCACGTGTTCTTGATTCTAACCCTTTTATCTTGATACTATCCTTCTCTTTATGTTGTACCCTTCTTTTAAGATTTCACATGAATAAAATCTGCAAATGTTAAACTGGACTTTATTTAAACAGTGTTTATTGAATAAATTGCAATTGATCTATACATTTTACTAAGCCATAAACCATTGTTTACAGACTACACAGGTTGGGTTTGTGAAAATTCTAAATCAAATTTAATCAAACCACATTTTGGCTCAGCATATTATATAATCCAGCCCTTACAGTGATATGCAAAGGAGAAAACTGGATCTGAAACGTCTACATTGAAATTGCTCTGATTTTATCAAATGATCTTGATATACCATTTCTCTAAATGCATAATAGCTGCAAAGAGTTAAAAGAGAATGATATACCTGGAGAAACCTGATGTCACATAGCAACAAAAATGTTTCACTATAAAATAAACACATAATTTTTTGAATCGTTCTTTCCTAGGATAGGAGGTCTCCAAATACGGTATGCAAAAGGTAGCCAAACAAATGTGTGTCAGAAATAAAATAAGGCTTTCAGCAGAGAAATGCATAAATGAGTTTCAGCTAAACAGATTAGGAAACTGGTGGCTAAGTGGGGATATATTCAAGGCAGTAAATTGTTAGAGAAGGAGGAGTGGTTATATGGGGCCAGAAAGACAGGTCATTAAAATTAATAGAATTAGGATGAACCAGAATAAAAAGTAAATGTTTGAGTGAATGGAAAGGTGATTGTGAAAATGCAGAAAAATCAGCATAAAAATATTTTGACATCCAAATGGAGGAGTTGAAACTGGATTTAAAAATGCAAGAAAAGGCAGTCTGGAATGGATCAACTCTGTTAACAAGCAGTAACGAAGACTATTTTACAACTCAGGACAACTCAGAAAGCAACATTAAGGTAAGGTAGTGGCATATATAAGAAATATATAAAATTATGTTTCTAAAATTTTTGCCAGAAAATGTTTCTCATCAATTTTCAGTAAATTGTAGCTGTACATAAATAATAAGCTTCTAAGCAAGTCCTGGTACTGAAAACAACTGGCAGGATCATACATAAGCCTTGGAATGTAGTTTCAATCTGTCCTGTAGAAGGAGTGACAGAACCTGGAGGCAAAGTCAAAACAGGAATCAGACTAGAATCTCTACATACCCACGAATGGACTATGTCCAATTTCTCTTTAATTTTGTTTACCTTATCTAGCACCAAAACAGTACAAACCATTACTTGAGTTCAGTGGTGAGATTCAACATTTTTACTACCGGTTCTGTGGGCGTGGCTTGGTGGACATGGCATAGCTTGGTGGGTGTGGCAGGGGAAGGATACTGTAAAATCCCCATTCCCTCCCCACTCCAGGGGAAGGTTACTGCAAAATCCCCATTTCCTCCTGATCAGCTGGAACTCAGGAGGCAGAGAATAGATGGGGGCGGGGCCAGTCAGAGCTGGTATTTACCGGTTCTCCAAACTACTCAAAATTTCTGCTACTTGTTTTCCAGAACTGGTCAGAACCTGCTGAATACTACCTCTGGTTGAGTTGATTCCTATGCAAAGGCCTAAGCAATAAATCAGTTTAATTGGAACCNTTTCCCAAGAGCAAGCTGTACAATGCAGTTCAATAAATGCAATCGGACCTGGTAATTAAATTCTAACACCTGTCAAAATGAGTTTCTTATGTTTGCGAAGAAATCAGTTCAGATTAGTTGGAAGGAATTACATGATCATAGTTAGATGCACACACCCTGCCACCTTCACAATTATTTTGTTTAAAAAGAAATATGCAGGAAACATTCTGAAATATCAAATCACTGTCAGTTGCACCTGTTTAGTACAATAATGGCTGAAACCTGGCTTTGCTAAAAGCGGGTAGCAACCAAGATACTACTGGAATAAGTTATGTTGTAAACAGCAAGCAGTAACCACGGAGTTAGCCTTGTATTTTGAATACACACGTACATGTTGAACTATACGTCAATTGCAAACATTTGTAAAGAAATCTTGATGTTTCATTCCTTAATGAAAGCTATGCTGTTATATTTGTTTCCAGCTCTGTTCAACTTAGAAGAAAGAATTGTTGTGGAAATAGAATACCAAACTCTTCCTTGGTCTATTGCTACAAGAATAAGAGTTTGAAGGTACCTTGGAAGTTTTCTAGTCTAACGCCCTGTTCAAGTAGGAGACCCTACCCCATTCCAGACAAATGGCTGTCCAATCTCTTCTTAGAAACAGCCATTGAAGGACCACCCACGACTTCTGAAGGGTAATTGTCTCTCTGAGGGCAGGAAATTTCTCCTTATTTCTGGGTTGGTTCTCTCCTTGGTTAGTTTCCATCCATTGCTTTTTGTGCTGCCTTCAGGTGCACAAAAGCTTTGCAAAATAGGTTGTTTCCTTCTTCTTCATGGCAGCCCTTTAGATATTGAAACAGTGATGAAGCACTGCTATCATGTCGCTCCTAGTCCTTCTTTTCATTAAAGTAGGCATAACCAATCCCTGCAACCACTCTTCATATATTTTAGCCTACAGTTTCCTGCTACACACCTCCCAACGTCTGATAAGAACTCACAGGTTAGGCCTCCTCCGGGTGCCGTCTGCTGGACAATGCCGGCTGGCGACCACTCGGGGGAGAGCCTTTTCTGTTGCTGCTCCAGCTCTGTGGAACGAGTTACCAACAGAGATCCGGATCCTCCCCACCCTTGCAGCCTTCCAAAAAGCCACCAAAATCTGGCTGTT